CTCCTTAAACCCCCAATTAAAGGGGCACTATGCAGGAATCCCGTTTTGTCAAACAGCCACCTCTAGAGTTGCTGTGGAGTACTTAATTTAACGTTGCTGTCTGTTGTGTGAAATGATGCAATTTATTCTATAATAACCATATGTAAACTGCTTGTAAAGACTTTATAGAACAGTCTTTTATGTAAACAGCTTTTATATGAAACCATGTGTAAACTGCTTGTAAAGACTTTATAGAACAGTCTTTTATGTAAAACAGCTCTTATATAAAACCATATGTAAAGACTTTATAGATAGTCTGCTATTATACAGTTTTTATGCATATAAAATATAGTTTATAATAAATACACAGAAACATATTGTAACAAATGTTTATTGGTTTTATAAAGAAAGACACAGAAATGTATTGTAACAAAGTGCTTTATTAATGGAATGTAACCAGTATTATGCTATGCATAGTAGTAAAAGAAAAAAAATTATTACCTTAATGTTGTGTTCCAGAATAAAAGGCGAAGGATGCTGAGAAACCGTGCGAGGAGAAGGAAGATCAAGATTAAGAAGGCCTTTTATAGGAGATTGTTCAAGGGACTGAAAGAGTTAAATATGGATCGAGGTCAAGGATTGGACAGATTGTGCATATGATTTGATTATGTAAGAAAGAGGTGTGACATGTAAAATGTATTTTAAAAAGTATATTGAAAGGTATGGGGCCTCTGGAAGCTGGACCAGTCTGTGAACTGCATTTATTGAACTATAACTTGTTAACCTGATTGAAAGAACAATATTGGAAAACTTTATACAATAAAAACACAAATAATCGTTAAAAAGTCTGCCTGCCAAGACTCTCAGTGTCACAGTCTGCGTCTGCACTGTTCTGTCTGCGTCTCCAGCACTACACTTCCCAAGATCCTCTTGTCACCCACACCTGAACTCACTCGCTCATCAGCCTCCTGTTCATCGTCTCGTTCATCAGTATCACCTGTTTTCACCCCATTATGTTTGATTCCTCCTTGTATTTAGTTCCCTCTGTTTTAGTCAGTCTTTGTCGGTCGATGTTGCATGTTACCCTTTGTTGCTCCTACCTGTATTCTTGTGATATATATATATATATATATATATATATATATATATATATATATATATATATATATATATATAAATAAATATAAATATAAATATAAATATAAATATTTATTTATATATATATATATATATATATATATATATATATATATATAAATAAATATAAATATAAATATATATATATAAATATATATATATATATATATATATATATATAGAGAGAGAGAGAGAGAGAGAGAGAGAGAGAGAGAGAGAGAGAGAGTAAAAGTTCTCTTCGTTGTCATCTGGACTCTGTCTGCTCTTCTGCCTGCACCACACCGTGACACTCAGCTTGCGATAAAGAACTTAGCCACGGAGGGGGTCTTTCTACTAGAGTGTAAGTATGAATTTGTATATTATCTATTGTAGAATTCGACCATCTTTACCTTACCTGAGAGAATAAACTAAATAAGGTAGAAGGTGAATGATTTATAACTAGGGTACTAGGATAGATCTAACACCATAAAACATGTCGTAAATACCACTCACTCAGAGCTTGACATGGCGTATTACATGGATTTATTATTACATGTATTATTTTATATCATTATTATATATATATTATTTTATTATCATTTATATTACATGTATTACATTATAGTGTACAGATGTGCCCCATGCTCCATCTATTTTGAGATCTATGTACTTAACACTGGATGCAGCGTAATCTACAGTCAGAATAAATCCAAATGTAAGTTTATTAACAGTCAGCTAAATGTATCATGCCAATTACATAATCAGTTTAAAGATAATAAATAACATCAAATGCTCTGGAATAAAGAGAAAAGATACTGTGTAAATTTCGATACCGTCTTTTTTCACTCTGAATGTTTTTATTTATGTTCTTTCCTTTTTAATCAATATAAGTTAAGAGTTGTAGGATAATAATTATCCTAGGATAGGATAATACTTTGGTTTTTCAGATTTCTTTCTTGTTCCATTTGAAGAAGAATAAAATGTATCTGCCATATTAAAAACTAGTTACTGTTAAACATCCGTCTGTTTTGTTCTAGTCTTATCATTTTGCTGGCAGAGATTATAGCAAGAGAGGGGGAATGGGATCAAATGCATGCCGGATTGGAAACTGCGTTCCTATAAACACAACAGCTCTTCAATGGGTTATGAGCACTGTCCACTTGGTTATGGCTCTTAATGCATTTCTGTTGTATGATTCGGCTCTGTAGCTATAACCATTTCTGTCAACATATCAAATCTGTTTTAAGGATTAAATTGAGCAAAAAAGAGACAATTTCTACATTCAATGTTTTTTTTATTTCATGACATTTTCATAAATAACAACTCATTGACATTTATTAAAGCTGCAGTTCCCCAGAACTAATAACAGTAACTGTAGTGATGAGTGCTTTGTTTTCAGAGAAAGAGGTTCTCTCTTTGAAAGAAACAAACCTTTATACAGTAACATGGGCTTTACAAATCCATCAATGCCCCATCCGCTAAAACATCACTTCATCACCGACACAAAGGAGGCAAGTTCTGAATGTCTGTGATATATATATTACACACAATCAGATCTCTTGCGTGCATGGAAAATTATAAATTAATGAGATATTTCAAAATCAGCTTTCTGACTTTAACAGCCCAATACGTTACTTCACAGATTAGTACTAGAAAATGTACTTTAATTTTAACATTTCACCCGCCAAACTATAAGAAATATAACTTTCTGCACTTATTGCATCCATATCTCATCTGAATTCAGATCCGAATAAGACAAAACGCCTTGAGACAACTTCACTTCTGATGCCAGAAGGGAAGTTTCAATGCGCTAGACAGCTTTATGCCTGTTGTCATGCATTAATATGTACAGATCACTGTTTTGTACAGTACTCAGCATGCAGATACTTCCTATGCTCATCTCATAACATAAACAGATGTACGTTCACAAGCATGAGTATATTCAGTGAACGCATTTTTTGAGGCCTAATCTGCACTTCAGCATTACAGACCGCCTAAGATTCTGCATAAAGTAATGCAAAATCTTTTCAGACTGAATATGAAACAGAAAGCACATTTGTTGATCATGTGTTGGGGTGTGTCACATAACCGTCATGAGTAAATGTCAGTGACATCAGAAAACACTTTGTGCAAGATGCTATTTTACTTTTTCAAATACAATTCCATACCTTGAACATCACAAAAAAAAAAAAACTGAGCTAGATTAAACTTAAATGTCTTAAAAGGTAAATGCCCTCAAACATCACTCATGTAAGAGGAATTTGTTTTTTGTTTTTTAAATAACAGCAGCAGTGATCGAACAAGAGGGTGTCCTCCTGACCACTAGGGGGAGATAAAATAAAAAGTATCCTGCTATCCTCTACAGGCACTCCTACACATCTTCATTTGTGTAAAACTCAAAACATGGAAGTTTTCATTTAAAAAAGCCTATTAAACAGTACATTTTACAGAATTACCGATTTACTGCATACATTGCATCTAAACATACATGTGTATCACAAAATTGTATCAACACACCCTAGTCCACTCTCACAGCAAAGTGAAGAGCACTCAGTCCTTCTGAGGAATGCTTATCTAATAAATAAATACATGAGATAATACACATAAAATGCTTGACATGCCACTATTTTCACATAGGTCACCCTTATAACAAACACTTTTTTTTTAACAGTGGCTTTGAGTCAATCAAACATTTATGGAGCCAAAAAGAGCACACAATAAAAAGCAGACAGTATTGTAAAGTGATGATATTACGTTATTCTGAATTACAGTACAAAAAAAAAAAAAAAAAAAACATGATAAAGAACTGGCACTATGGTACCAGAATGCCTTTCATTTCTCACTTTTAACTTGTGTACATTTAATGCATTGAAGGTGTAGTTCACTCAAAAACGAAAATTCTAGGACTGCACAAAATATTGCAATTTGTTTTTTTCTGTGGATGACTAATATAACTATATTTGGGGGGAAAAGTAATTTTAGAATGACTGGAGTGATTTTGTAGGGTTAATATATATATAAAGAGCTTAACAATTTGGGAAAACTTGATTTTTTTACTTTTCTGATTAATTGTAAAAATGTTTAAGTTTTAACTTACTCAAACCTATATCAGACAGTAACTATAAATTGAACTCGTCTCTTTCTACTTAAGTTTTCATAGGCCACATTCCCAATATTTTTGTGCTGTTTTGTTTATTGTGATTATTATTAAATAATATAAGGTAATAATACTATTGTACTGTAAAATAAAATTTTAATTTATTGTAAAACCATCAAATTATTATACTAATATTTGCATCTTAGTTACTTTATTTCCAAAGTTAAACCATCAAGCTTTTACTTTGACAAGTTGCCAGCAAATAAATATATGAAGAGTTCAGATGCAAAAGCCTCTAAATGCCATTTGAAATTTTCATCTTTAATGATGTTTTTTTATCAAACTTGTATATTTAAGTTCAGTAATGTCACTTAAATAACAATTAATAGGTAATTAGCATTGCCATTTAAGTGAAATTACTGAACTTAAATATACAAGTTTGATAAAAATCATCATTAAAGAAGAAAATTTCAAATGGCATTTAGAGGCTTTTGCATCTGAACTCTTCATATGTACTGCCTTTTTTCAGAGTAAAGCACGGCACTGTATTCATTTAAATGTAATCCGCTGAAACTGGTAATGCATATAATATTTATTTAAATAAATTGTAGCCTGCACAATTTGACAATCACACTAAGCCATGTCACAAAATGTAATTTATTTTGATATAGCCTACTGTGTAGCCCTAGAAAATAATTGACTCACCCACATCTCAAAAGACTTGGACCTGATTCTGTTCCACAGAATACAGAAAGTCGTACAGGTAAATGATGAGTTTTCATTTTTCGGTGAACTATACCTCTGGTTCATCCCACACTGCATCCAGTAAGATAACCATACTGACATGTCTGATGCGTCCCGACTCTGTTTCGTTGTAAATATTGAGCAGTTTCTGAGATGTTGCAGTGGTCATCTTTAGGTCTGGGCCTCTGGCAGAGGTAACCCTGGCTCACAGGTTGCAGCGGATAGAGCCAGACCCGTTGCTCCCCGACAGAGCAGTCCCTTTGCAGTGGCTGCAGACGCTTCCCCTCTGTTGAAGTTCCTGTAAGGTCTTCGTGGAGGTCCACGGTGCGAGGAAGGTGGTCCACGCAGGCACAAGGAAGGGAAGCTGAACCCCGCCAGACAACAGGCCGGACATGACATGACATCGTCTTGTTCATTAGTAGGCGGTAAAGGCTCCGGGGCGGGGCCTCGGTATCCTTTGAGTCTAGCCCATGCAAACGGGCGCCCAGGCCTAAGCAGTCCATTGTTGTTGTCCAAACGGGGAAGGGGAGGTAATAACGTTGGTCCGTTTGAGATGGGCGTAGCCCAACCATTGGATTTTAAGGACGGGGAATAAGAAGAACCGCTAATAAGCCGCTTCCCTGACACGTTTCCTTCAGCTGTGTCAGGTGAACTACTACAGTCCATGGGCTCTGTGAGGTTCAGGCCCTCCTTCTCCACCTCTTCCTCCTCCTCTTCTACCCGTTCTAAAAACACCATATCTAAGTCCAGAACCAGGCCTGAGTCCTCCACATCATCTTGCCGTCCTTCCGCCTCCTTCTCTTGAATTCCATCTCCCAGTCCTTCATTTCTCTCATCCTCTTCCTCTTTACGGCCCTCTTGGTCCCGGAAGGGTAGCTGTCGACCCAGATCAGGGGTGCACGGCAGGGACCGACACCTTCGAGGGGGTCCTCGGAGCCCCGGGCTCCCGTTCAGTGGTGGGGAGGCACAAGGGTCTGGAGGTGGTGGAAGGGTAAAGGTAAGAGAGATGACAGATTTGCTAGGGGTGTCGAACAGCTTGATGCGACCACCGTTGAGGTCTTGGCGAAGAGAGAATGGGTTGACCCGAGCAGGAGTGCCTAAACATGGTGATGTGGCAGGGGGCAATACGTCTGACTGACTACGTGACAGGCGCTGGTCACCGGGATAGCATGGTGAGCTTCTTCTCCTATACGGGCTGACGTCAATGGCAATGGGTTCTGAGGAAACCACAACAATGACATTATTTCTTTAAGAGTGGTAAAGAAAGTGTTGTAAAAAGAGTTCAAGTTTAAACCAGTGAATTTACTTTTAAAAAACAACCAAAATACTTTAAATTTGCATATAATATACACAGCTATTCAAAAGTATGTTTTTTTTAAAGCTTTATTTGTTCAAAAATATAGTAAACAGTAATTTTGTGAACTATTATTACAATTAAAAAGAACCAGTCACATAATACTTTAGAAATCATTGTATTATTTGTGGCTTAAGAAACATTTCTTATTTTTAATGTTAAAAACAGTACAACTTAATATTTTTGATTTATATATTTTTAATTGATTTGAAATAGAAATCTTTCGTAATATCAGAAATGCCTGTATCATCGCAATTTAAATCAGCACTATGCAGGCTTTCCGTTTTTGTTAAACTGTGACGTGAGACGCCCAACATTCAATCCGTAAATAGTCATATAAACCTTGCAATAACTCCGAAGCTATTCAGTTAAAGCTACACTGTGTAACTCTTTTAGTTTATTCTTAGCTAAAAATACTTAGTTCTTTCAAAAACATATGTGCTCATTAATGTATATTTACTTCGTTCAAGTAATAAAGTATTCTCGTGAGTGTATAATATGCCATTGAAAATACATACGGGTAAGGGGTTCTAATGTCGGTCACCATGTTGCCCCTCCATCTTGAAAGTACATTAGCCAAAGAGGGACATACCGGTTAATTCAAGCTTCGCCTTTCGCGTTTTGACGTTTGATTTAACACTCATGGACGAGGTCAAACTGGAAGCCATGTTAATCTTGGACTACACTGGCCACCGTAGGAGTTAAAACGAAATCACAATTGAGAGGAACAGAAACTAATATTCACTGGATGGTCATATAACTTTTCACCGCTAGATGGGGGTAAAAATCACACAGTGTAGCTTTAAGGTAAAAAAACGGCATAGTGCTGCTTTAATGCATCCTTGATTAATAAAAGTATTAATTTCTTTAAAAATGTATCTTTTTTTTTTTTTTTAAACTGACCCCACACACAATATATACACACGTGGGCTTAAATTCAATTATTCATTTAATTAATGATTATAAAAAATAATTCATTACACTGATTTATTTATCATTACTTACCTAGGATGACTGGAACTTCACTTTTCACTCTTTCTCTCTCGTTCATCTCAAGTGTTACTACTATTTCAGAAAAGGCAGGGCGACTGTCTGCACTCATCTACCATAGACATAAAATAACACATAACAAACGATCTCAGTGAATAACATGAACAGTTTTATACAGATCTACAGATCCTATGTGTTTTTGAATTTTCAGTTTTATTTTATTTTTGGGTACGTAGCTTACATTGCAGCAATTGACAGCCAGGCGAAGGAATGGAGGCGGACAGTCTCCCACCATATGCCCAAAGGCTTCCACATCCAGTCCAAAATCCTACAGACAATCAGAACATTTTATTTTATATGTTTTTCACTGATCAGGCATCTTCAGACAGAATACAAATACACACACAGATTAACTTGAAATACATATTTAACTTCAATAATGAACAACGTGTTGCTTTCTAAAATAAAATGAACTATGAAAAATCTATTTTGTAGAAATATGCAACATGCTACTCGACCAGCAGAGGGAGGCAGTGCTCTAGTGGTCATGCTCAGATTTAGAGATGTTGATTCATTATATAGTTATTCATATGCACATGCATCATATAAAAAATAAACATGCGAGTAAGTGACAAAATAAATATAATTATTTCTACATTAAGTTTGTTTTGTTTACAGATACAGAATTCAATTTTAAAATCAATACAATTCAATACAATTTTAGAAAATAAATATTTCTGTTATCATTACCTAAACAATAGACTTTCTATTAATAGACTAGATTTTCAGACTAGATTGAAGATTTTGTCTTTGAACAAAAAATCTTTAAACTTAAATTTAGCAAAAGTGATAAAGTGATTTTTTACACAATCTCTAGGCTTGATTTATATATGATAAACCAGCTTATGATTCTATGCTTGACTGTGTTTCATGTGGTGTTAAGCAGCTGTATGATGTACCTCTGTCCGTGGGAGAATATCTGGGTCAGCCTCAATTCGAGCAATAATCTCACAAAGGATTATTCCATATGAAAAGACATCCGCCTATGGTATGAACATGACATGAATGAAGTAACACAAGCACATGAGCAGAGCTGAATATTGATTTGTTAGTTTTCAAAGACAGGATACCTTCTCATTGTACAGCTCTCCTCTTAACATTTCTGGAGCCATCCAATAGGGGGAGCCCACAACCGCCAAAGGCTGCTTTTCAACACCATCACTGTAGACAAGCAAAAACAAACATTTCATGCATGTCTTCAATCAGTATTTGAGTTTTGTTTGGAATAACATTCTGAATATATATTCTTTCTTATATGTGTAATAAGTTTGCTTGTATTTCTGGGTTAAATGTGTGTCATAAATCTGTATGATTTCTGTTATATGTAAGATAAGGTATGCACTGACCTATAATCAGGGATTTTCTCTGCCAGCCCAAAGTCCCCAACCACAGCTGTAAAAGCACCATTGTCACAACGCACCAGACAATTCTGTAAAAGAGTGTTGTGTCAGAGTGTTGTGTACAAAAAGGTTAAGCAAAACAAATCTGATTCATTTAGCATTTAATTCAGGCAAAAAACGCTTGACACACTTAACTGCAAACACTGAAATGGCATACACTATGTGTGGTACAGTACAAAATGTTAAGTGTCCTTTATACTGTTCATTATTTTTCCCATAAAGAACCAAGATTATCCCTTACTTTCCTCAAGTTGGCAACCCTAGTGTTAATAGAATATATCAGTGAATTGTAATTGTGTCTGTACCTTAGATGTAAGATCTCGGTGGAAAATGCCCTTGCTGTGTAGATATTGCAGCCCTCTTGCAATGTCCAGAGACAGACCTATCCTCACAGTCCATGACAGATATATGTCACTGTCCAGTAGCTGCTCCAAGTTGCCCCCATTTATGTACTGTAAATGTAGTCACACTACAGTTATCATCACATCAACCAGACAGTCCGTTAACTCCTGTAGTCTGGATTTCTGTGCAGTGTCTTACCTCTGTTAGAGCATGAAGCTGTCCTTCGTGAACACATACACCCAAAAACCTAAGAAAGACCTCAAGGTGAGTATTAGATTGTTTTTTTTTTTCTTTTCTTTTTGTATTCCTTTTGTAAATATGCACTTTTTAACCTCGGATAATTCCCCCATGGGATATATAAAACAAGCAAACAAACAAACAAACAAAAATTATACCACCACAATCTCATTCTCGTCACATTCAGTTCAGACTTTACAACTCAACTCAAGTGAATATCGAAATATAAAAACTGGTGTAGTGCTGCCATTAAACAGTAGTGAAGTAAACAATTCATTGTAGTGTTGGGAAGCATTTTATAGGGCTGGGCGATATGATTTTTTTTACAGTTTTATTTTATCGATAATCACCTTAAAAAAATGGCGATATCCAATTACATAGTCACAACACTGATATACACCGTAAAACACACACCATTATGAGTTTGACTGCACTAATTGATAGCCTGCGATTCAGTTAGTTAATTTAATTATTGAAACGCTAAAGGTTTTAGGCTACTTTGGTTAGTTTGAACTTAAAAGCTTTGCTGTTACTGTATGTAAGAGTTGAATGCCAGTATCCACACTGGCACGGAAACTGACTGACGAAATAAAAATTACTGATTTATTTTTTAGAAACACAAGTAATTAAAAATTATATTTATGTATTTTATTTTTCATTTTTTAAACGCTCCTAATAAGCTATAACAGAGCTGCCAACACTGGAAACTCCAAACCTAAAAAAAACCTAAAAAGATTTTACTGAATATTGGAGTATTGGCATGAGATATTTAAAGCACTTTTTGCAAAATAACTAAATAAGATATATAAAATAATTTTAATTACAATGGTAATGCATGTAATTTTTTTTGTATTTATTAATATGTGCATTTAAATTAATATTCAGAAACAGATGCCGCTACATAGGCTGCAACCATTTTATTATTGTTTTCCTGTTTAACTTTTATTAAACTGCAGACCAAAATAAACTACTTGATAGTAATGTTTTTTTTAAATGGAGATATCACTGCTATTTCAAATTTATAGGATACAGTTTTTTTTCATCTGCAGAACAAAATAAATTGCATAAAAATTTATAGCAACATTACCTTAGGAATAAAAACATCAATTTAAGATGTGTATGTCATGATTATGTTCAGTTAGTTTCACTTTCATGGACTTTTAGTTTGTTCATCGTCTGTTTCCTGTTTCCTTTGTTCTAGTTTTCCCGCCAGACATTTGTCACCATAGATATTCATTTAATCATCAGAGCTGATCATTATTGAGTTTGTTGTGATTGAGTATTTAAGTTCCTCATTCCTTGCTGTGTTTGTCTAGAATTGTTGGTATTTGCTATGCACTCTGTCTCAAATTGTTTGCTTCTGTAAATTAACCTAGTTACTTTCAAAACTCTTAACCTGCCATCATCATCTTCGGAGTCTAAACATGACAAAATACCAGACCAAATAGGGACATTGCAGCTGTAAATACTGCGCCTAGAAGCTGCCTAGAACTTAGAGGAGGAATTAAAAAAAAAAATTCTGAGCCTGAATCATTTTTCAGGGATGTTGTTGGAGAGACGCCAGAGCCCCCACAGTGAGTCTCACCAGGTGTGTGAGCTGGTAACCTCTGTACCAGTGGGAGTATTGGTGGAGGTGGACACCGAAGCATAACTGATCGATTGGGAAACAGAGGTAATGCTCCCAACCCAGCCCTGCCCTGTATCTACTGTGTTGACACCATCACCTCTGGTCTCTCCAACCCTGAATATTATTTTCCATCACTGCTAATCCCACCCAACCTCTCTCATCCAGATTCGGCCAACCCTTCATCCCCGCTTAAACTGGTTCCATTCAGCCCCTCTTCTTTCCTTTTGCTGTGGACGATTGCTGTGTGGATGAGCCTCGGGTCTAACGGTTGCTAGCTTCACCTAAGTATGTGGTTCGCCTTCAGCATCTGTGCCTTTTACTCCACCGCGGCTCCCTCGTTCCACTGGCTCCACCTGGGTCAGACATCACCCCTCCTATGCCACGGACTTATTTACACCCCTATGGCTCTGTCTGGCTCCACCCTCCCTTCGGGGCCACCTCGGCCCTCAGTTGCTCTGCCTCACTCAGGCCTTGATCTATTGAACCGTCGGTGTCATTTAAATCCATCAACTTTCCGTCTGCACCTAGGGCTCCACTGTCAATGGCTTCTCCGTCAATCATCTCCTGGATGTTGTCAGTTGAGACTCCATCATGCCTCCTCCCTCTGTTGACTCTGCCATAGGCCTTTATCCTGACTGTGCTCTGGTGTAACACCTGGCCACTTCTCCCATCCTCGCCTCCTTGGTTCCTACCACTATCATCACCACTATGGTTCCTTCCACCGGGTCTTCCTCCTTTACCAGTCCCTCGTCCACCTCCGAAACCACCTACTCATCCTTTTTATCATGCGAGGCCGCGCCTTCCTGGAGGGGGCGATCTGTCACGATTATGTTCAGTTAGGCCCTTGTGGACTTACGAACTTGTGGACTTCCTCAGAGTCCACACTTCGGTGACATCATGTAGTGCAGACCTATAGGACCTTTAGCGTGAGTCCTCAAGGGCGGACTCGACAGACTCGATCGTCACGCCGGACACAGGAAGAAGGTCTGGTTGTAGTTGGACAGGAGCTGCGGGTCGATATGCTGCCGATTGATGTTGTTGTTTTTATTATTTATTTATTATTATTTAAATTTTAACACAAAATGAAAATGAGCTTAAGAAAAATACATAGGTTTCAATATTTATCCTATATCTATTAGGCTGCTGTCAATGCACGGATGCTGTTTACGGTCACTTCAGACAAAACCGAGTTTACAGGAATATTTTTTGGTGTATTTTAATCAATGCCACTGCATGTGAATAAATATGTGTATGGTAACTATGGGGCTATGTGAAATATATTTGTCATTTTTTTCCAGATATTGTCGATGATCATCTGGTAACTGACAGTTAGGCCGTGTGTCCACCAAAACGTTTTTCCACACGCCTGGCGTATGTTTTCAATTATTTTCAATGGGAGCGCTGTGTTTTTTAACGTACCGAGGCGCTGAGCGTTTTTTTCACGCTGAAGCGCCGAGCGCCCAGTGTTTTTTACTGGTCGCTAGGAGTTGAAAAATGTTCAACTTTGGATAAAACGCAGCGCACATCACTGTCACCTTTTACCCAGCCGTCCAATCACAGTGGAGGAGGGGCGGGACTAATACCACACCGACCAACTGTCACAACATTCAACTGCTGTGGATATTCTGTATCATAGCAACGAAACGTCTCAACGGAAAAAACGCTGCGCTGCCAAAACGCTCTCAAGCGCCCAAAGCACGGCGCCTTCAGCAGAGCGTCGTTTCAGCTGGCTAAAAACGCTTTGGTGGACACACGGCCTAAAGGACATCATGATACTCGACATTGTTGATATACGATAATTTGTTCATATTGCCCAGCCGTAATTCCATGCATAATGAAAGTATTCTATCTTTTGTATAACAAAACATGTTTTAAAAAAGGGAAAAGAGGTGAGTGACATACCTGAGGATGTTGGGGTGGCAAAGGCGGTTCATGAGTTGCACCTCTCTCAGCATGTTGGCTTTGTTACTAGCCATTGTGTTCATCTTCAGAGCCATCACCTGCCCAGTGATCCTGTGCTGCACCTGTAGAATACACAAACACAGTCTTAATGACTTTTATACTGAATAAATTGTACATTCGATCCCCTAACCTTAAACCTTCCCATCACAGAAAACTTTCTGCATTTTTTTCCTTTTCAAAGAAATATAATTTTGAATGATTTGTAAGTTGTTGTTTTTTCCCATGGGGGACCAAAAAATGTCTCTACAAGATAAAACTATCTAATGTATGGAATACCTCGTCGACTGAATCAGTGACAGTACTAAAAATCAATATTTTGTATGATACACAAAGTACACCAGAAATGCCTAAACCAAGGTCCATGACCTTTGATTTGGGGGACGACATGCCAGATACTGTAAGCAGCATAACTTTGATTTAATTCATGTTTTTGTGTTAACATCTTTGTAAAAATGTCCATATTATTGTAATATTGTTGGATATAATGCAGCATTTACTTTCAGGCCACGGTGCTTACTGCTTACACAAGTTTGATTTAGTCCATTTGTAATAAACGGTTTGGGCACCTCTGCAGGTGGCAACATTTAGTTTTCTTTGGTCAAACTAAGGTAAGGCAGTATATTAATAATGTATTTTTCCACAGTATATATATATATATATATATATATATATTTCTAAGATTGTATTTCTATTATTGCAATATACTGAACACAGCCTATATACTCCAATTCAGGAGTTAAATCTATAAGTTGATTTCCAGACTCGAAATTCCATACCACGTCTTTTTCAGTGAAAATCACAACTAATAATTTTGTTATTGCATATATCTCATTATTTACATCATTATGGATACATAGCAAAAAATAGACATACAAAATATTATAATATAACATAATTGTAAAAACTTCCACAGCTGGTCTTCACAAAAGGGTAAGTGCTTGATGGGTCATGTCATTTAGTCATGTACAGATGCTCTAATTGAGGATAAAAACTATTCACATTTGCACAAGAGTATCTAAAACTTATTCTGGGCCTAAAAACAGATTTACTCTGAAGCGTGTCAAATAAAATTAGGAAAATATAGGAGTTGAGGATAGAGAATCTAGTGGTGATAGACAAGAGAAGGATTTGTACACACTAATACAATAGTAATATTCTTTAAGTTAAAGTATTATTTAAGTTTTGTATTATTGTGAGAGAGTAAGACAGAGATCCAGTTCAGTATGCTGAGTATTAATAGTCATTAGGCACTAATAGGCTTTCTGGATTTCCCGTCATCCCACCTAACCATGCTGGAATACCGGACATCATTACAATGACGTCACATGCAAAACTTAACATGGGTTTCACCCACTTCTACACATGATCCATCGCTAAACACCACAGCATACATCATCCTACGTTTATAAATCAGATATCGGACTGACTTTGATTTATAACTATTTGCAAACAGTATGTCAACAAACAGTATATTCATATTTCATATTTAACAAAGAGTCGTTTGTCAGTCACACAAGACATAATTCTTCTGACACCATTTTGTTCCAAATAAATTTGAATTAATGGTGACATCGCAAAAGGAAAAAAGACACAAACAACTTTCATGAAACATTACATTTATTAAAAGATAAATCCTCAACTTTCTGCAAAGTTTTAGTTGTCTATACTGTAAGACAATTCAAAAATATGAGCCAAAACAGCTGTCTTTCTTTATTTTTAGAGGTCAAAAAAGTCATGTGTCAAATATTTTCAGACCTCACGAGTTATTAGTTATGCTCACGTAAATCTGCAGTACTTTGAAAACAAAAATTAACTAACCACTAATTAAGAATAAACAACAAAAATAGGTATAATATTATGTAATTATGTATTCATATTATTTATGTAATACTACTATTTTTGTAAATTATTACATTTGTGGATGGTTTGACTATGAACTTCATGACAGTCAGTTGTGGTCATGTTCCACTTACTTCAAAATTATTTTAAACAAATAACCCAGATTATTTTTCCGTATTTGCTTTCAAGAAGAAAATCAGAGCCGCCAACTGTTGATAGAAGCAAAAGACATGGGCCAATAAACACACACATACCCCTCTGTGATGAGGCAGACAGATTAGGGCAGGTTGGTAATCTGATTATGCTGTAGAGTGGAACCGTCCTGTCTTATTGTTAATCAGAGGCACCGTTGCTCTTAACATGGACACATATGACACTGTTCTATTATATACAAACATAACATACATTGTAGTTCATGAGACTTTAGGAAATACAGTGTGTGTGTATGTATATATATATATATAGTATATATATATATATATATATATATATAATATATATATATATTTAGGACTGTCAAATGATTAATCGCGATTAATCGCATCCAAAATAAATGTTTGTGTTTACATAATATATGTGGGTGCACTGTGTATAAATTATTATATATATATAAAATACACACACATTCTTATATTTAAGAAATATTTTCATGTATATACTGTATATAGATTTATATATAATTTATATTATATATAAATATAAATATTTATATATAAATCATTTTTTTTGTTAAATATACATGCATGTGTGTGTATTTATATATATATATATATATATATATACACACACAAAATAATTATACACAGTGCATCCACATATATGTAAACACAAACTTTTATTTTGGATGCGATTAATCGCGAATAATCGTTTGACAACCCTAAGGTATATATATATATATATATATATATATAGGCATTTTTTGGCAAAATGATCATGATACCAAAACATAAAAACTTAATATTAATTATGAATTAAAATGAATAGTATGCTGTTAATAATAACAACAATAATAACAACAAATTATTAATTACTATTATTTCTCACAATATAATCAAACAACACTTTTAAATAAATATATTTGTATTTATAAAAGTTACTTCACAGTGAATACCACTGTTAGGTGCTATTCTTAGAGACACACCAAATAGTAGCACTTATTAGCAGATACTAAATAATAATAATAATAATAAACATTAAAAAGGTTAAGTTGATAAAGTGTGAATATCTATTAAAAATGCATTTATTTTGCAAGCCTCCTGAACTTTGTTAATGATCATTTATTTATGGTATATCCATGGCCATGGCCAAACTTAAAGTCATCAAAAGGTGCAACCAGTGGATAAACGTTTGTGGATAAAAAGAAGAGAGGAGGTTACCTTAAAGACTTCTGAGAAGAACCCAGAACCGATTTTTTCACAGAAAAAATCGTCGATTCGTGCCAGGCTGGACACCGCACTTCGCAGTGCCCGGTACGATGATGGCCGCATCCGATTGGGCCCGTAAAGGGCATGAAAAGGTTCTTGGTTTTCATCTTGATCCATTATGATGGACAGGCAGGCAGCGGGTCCCTTCAACGCAGCCAAATATCCAAAGTCCAAATATCCATATTCCGAGTGAGATGGACAACAAATAATCACTTAAAAAAGCAGCTCAACGACTAGTAAAATGAGGTGAAATACTGAGTAACACATAGAATTACTCGATTAAATATTCTCCAAGAAGGGTAAAGAGGTGCACGTGATGAAGAGTGCGCTCGGGCTGTTTCGCGATGGATGCGGTTGCCATGTTTCATATTCCTATATTCCGGTCGTTAAATCAGTAGGCTATTACTCCAAAGAGGTTGTGCGTTATCGCTCGCAGTCCCAGATATGTCCTCCCCAAATTATGTAGCTTAACTCCCAACAGCTTTTACACACAAATCCTGAAAAAAAAGGTTTTAAAATAAGTAATATATCATTGCTCCTTAAAAAAGAAGCATATACTGATATATCAAATGAAGCCCCATAAATGGCAACAGAACGAGTAAAATTATGAAGAGAGGCAGCAGCAGTATGGAAAAATCTTATTGCAAGCAAGATAATACAGCAAAACAACTCCAATGGCAGTAAGAAATGCGGTGTGTCCGCACCATCTGTCAAGCCTGGCTAAAGAGAGGATCCATTGCGGATTGTTTCAGACCGCTATGTCAGGGCTTGCTCCGAATGCAATTTATGTTTCGCCTTTATCTACTTTTAAAGCGAAAGCCGTTTTACAGACTAAGCTGAATATTATACATGAGAATTTATAATAAAAGCATCTTTAAGCGTGCACATGCAACCAAGAACGGCATGCACGGCGCCGGGCCCATGCGACTGTCAAAAGAATATGGCACTGTACCTGATTTCAGTAAGATCGAAGAAAAAAGACATTCTCGTTTGGGGACCAACGTTGCATTTAGCAGATCCCCAATGTTTTGTCAACATCTCGTTCGCAAGCTGTCACTGTCCGTCTCGGCCATAGTATAACGTTTATGCCGCTTGTATATTTGCCCGTTCCGTTCATTGGTGAAGAATAGGGGCAGGTCTTGGCGAGGCTGGACATTGCGCGTCGAGCATGCGCATTTGCGCAGTAAATGCTACAACGTAGGCCAGTGTGATTCTGCACAATTTAGATAGGCTACTTTCAGGAGAATGACAGTGTTCACAAAACAATGGGATATCACGGGCTGCAAGTCATGGAAATCTTATCTTAATCGAGTTCGAAAGTATTTTAAGCATTTTAGCCAAGATTTGCACAGCAATAATAAGTTTACATTTGCCTTTATTCTTGACATGAGCTTTCTTGACGTATTTGGGCTTCTGATTGGCCGCATTATACGTCAATCAAGCATTAAAGCCAATAAGCGGCCAGTGCGCTGGCGTTGCTGAACCATGATGTCACTTTCACATTTCAATTCACGATGCAACGTTAATAGCATGCAGACAGTGACCGCGATGATATCATCGTCGTCATGAGTCAGCACTGCAGTACAAAAAAAGGCCACTAACCCATCATTTGAAATGAAACTAAAATATCATATAAATTTGGCCACTGTTGTGAAATTCCTGTTCTTCCGCTGATAATCTGGTAAACTCATCTGACTGAAGCCACTATCTTTTAGGGTACCATCTAAATTAAATCAGACTAACATTGTTGCAAAATAAAACAAGTGTTTGCTTTGTCTTCAGTGTCATTATTAAAATGTACAGCCCAATGAATTTGCCCTTACGTTTAAAATGAAATGTTATGTAGCCCACGGAACTGTTTTATAGACTTTATGTAGCAACACAAGTTTTTCGTTTAAATGAACAATGTATTCAATAAGCGAGTATATTAAAACAAAACAACATTATTATTACTCTGTCATTTCCCCCCAAATAAAATATAGGCCTATTCATTTTACTTGCATAGACATTTTTACTTTCTTTTTCCTTTTTATTGGAGAATATATATAACAAGACAGGGAACAATCAACAATGCAAGACACTTCCATTGAGACTAACACAGAGTTTGAATTTGAGAAGGAAATTAACTTTTTACTTTCAGATGCAAAAGATGATCAAATGCCTGCATCTGCCGTGGTTCATCAACAGGTGGCAACAGAGAGAAATGTGGACGTCTCTTTCTGCCCTTTAATTTTAATTTTTACATTGTCGTTGTTTTTCAATTTATAGCCTAATTACAAAATGTGAAAAATGTGTGAAAATGTGTCAAGAACTTGCTGTTGAATTCTGCAATTTTAAAAAGTGCAA